GGGGGGGGGGGGGGAGTCCGAGGATGCAAAGCCGACCCCCCACCCTTGGCACGGAGTTCGGGGGGCGCTTAAGGGCCCCGAAAAATGGTATATTAAAGGGCGAAAGGTGTCATTTCATTAACTATGATTCAGCAAGTCAAAATTATAATTTCAAGCGGTGGCCATTGGTGTGTTTTTTTTTTCAGAAATAGAAGGGGAGTCAGGACCCCTCTGACGCCCCTGTAAATCCGCCATTGACAGGTACATGTACCCGGCACATCCAGGTTTCAGTCAACTATAGATGTCATCTACGCTACATGTACTTAGACAAAATTTGTCTTCAACAATGCCATATGAAACACGCATTTTAAAAGTACGCATTAAATTGCGTGACCTAGATATATAGTGACATTTAATACATGTGGGTGAAGTTCAGATATAGTGAAAATCTAGGTTCTATTGCACTGATCCGACTGAAAAGCCTTATGTACTTTAGGCATATCAAAACTACCAGTATAAATTTATCACCTTCCCCGTTTACTTACGTGGTGCTTGAACTCACCTCTTGCAGACGTCTGCATCCTAAATAATATTGCAATTTAACTTAAATATATGATTTTCTCTGCTACCGGTACGCCAGTTCACCCTATTGTGGTTGATAAACACATCATACCTATTTTTGTAAATCATCGCTAGAGGGCGCTCAAGAACAGCAATCGCAAGATTTATAACTGTAACCAAATTCCCATGTTTTGTCACACGAAGAAATAATTAAGCATGAACTTATTGGATTAAAAAACAAAAATGTGAAAGTGATCAGCTTACTTGTGTAATAATAATAATAATAATAATTGACATCTCAGTGACGTGATAAGAATCAATAAAACATCCATGTTTTCCTCACCTGACAGTTAGGACAATATTCACTCGGTTTCTTTTGTTTGCCAAGTTCCTGACCCATAATATTGTAAAATCATGCAGCGTCACACGAAAGCGTCTATGGGAATAGGAATAAATCAGCCCAGCAAGAGTAAAATGAAACCACTTCAAGCTGCAAATTCCCTTCAACAACGGCTTGTGTCATTTTTTATAGTAAAATTATTTGTTAACCTTTTCTGATCACCTTATTTGATCATAGTTCTTCCAATACTTCTGAATTTAGTTAATTTCATCACTTTTATTAAACATAAATGTATTGAAAATTAATTTGGATATCAATTCCAATTCAATGCGTGCATGTATGTATGACTAAGTGCAAGTACAGTAGAAATTACATGTGTACAGTAGAATGAGAATTCAGTTGCAAACTAAATACAATGTGATTGTTTTGTGAAACCCACTTCAAAATGGTAGCCTCAAACGTCGCAACTATTTCACATTATTTTTTGCAAATTCGTGAGACAAAACCTAAATGGCAAGGAAGCAATTTACCCTCACCAGGCACGAACTGAATCAGCGAAAACAAGCCTTGAGAAACTAGATTGGAATGTACCTATGACAGTGATAGCCTATGTATGGAAAATAAACGAAAGCAATCAAACTACAGGGGTAATATGTGTCTTTAGTCTACCGGAAATATGCCATCCATACTGCTTATTAATACGGGAGTAATGCGCTGTCGACAATCCCCGGCAAGTACGGAAACTGAATTGAAACATATTGCTCGTAGCCAGTAATTTCGCATTCGTACCATGAAATCGTGGTTTGAGCCATAAATTTAGGGCTTCGTGCCACAAATCTTAGGCTTGAGTTCGAAAACGCACAATTCGTTATACATATGTAAGGTCTTATATTAACTGAGCGCTCTCAGTAGAGTACCATTGACAAAACACTTTCCCGGTGGTCTTAAGGAGAGGATGTGTGTTAAGCCACTTATATTTTACCTTGTCTTTACGATAAAGTTTCATTAAAAGCGAGCGTGAATTCCAAATAACGCACATGCGAATAATTTTAAACCACCTTTGCTTTATTCTTCTACAGCTAAAATAAAGTCGAGATGCCAAGTCATAATCCAAATTAACCCCTCGTTCAGCCAAAAAGTAGCTTTCAAACTGTACCTTCAATCAATTTCTGGTCGAAAATTGACCAATTTACCTGTCCATCCAGTTTGTAAAATTCTGCTAAATGACGCAGCACTGCGCGCGCACTGCAGCTGCATTATAATCACCACTCTAATGTACCCTCTGCTAGGGTGGCGGATATTATAGGTTCATCTCCGCATTTCCAGTTAGGAGATTGACGATATTTAAGACATTATATGTGAATATCTAGTGTAAAATCAATCTGTGGCCTTGGTAGAGGGTAACTTTAATGGATGTATGGACGCACATTGTAACTGCATACTTGTTCAAATGGATTTCTCAAAAACACCATAGCACAGAAAGAAAGCAGAATACTGGATATACTGCCTGGTGTTACCGTGTACCAGGGCGACAGATTGACTTTCCACAGATATTCACATATATGTCTCTAGATAAATAGACAGTCATTTTGGTCGGATGTCGATTCAGCCAAAAATGTCGACAATAATAACTGAGACCTGGTAGAGGGTGGCCTGCTGTAATGTGAAGTCCAGTAGCTTGGAGAGATCTACTTTATAAAACCCCTCGCCTTGGCACTTGCTCCAACTAAGGTACGAGTCCCTCGAATATGACAACCAATACAAAAGAATAGTACCCAAATAGGTATCTTGTTACTTGCATCTCTTTCTAATTAGATACCAAGCAAGTTTATCTACAGCGGGCCCTCCCTGGGCTGAACGAGAATCTCGTTGACGGCCACGTGATCTGGCGCCGTGACTGCGTAGAGGACTGCCTGGGCGATGACTTCAGGTTCCAGAACTGGGTAAGGGAAAGGGTATGTGTACAGCTGTTTACACTGAAATGATAATAATATATTTTTGCACGCTCTAGGTCGCTGGTTTTTATAATAGGCCTACAACTTTCAAAGAGAATTTGCTTCATTTATTCTGCAAAGAAAACCTTCGCAGACTCCGGCCGAAATGCTTTTTTGATATTTAGACCTCAAAAAGAAGAATCGCCGTTAGTGATTTCGAGCCACGGGCTTGTAAATTAACTACTAAACCAAAATTTCATGGAATTCATTTTTACTTTATCTTGTTTGTAACTATTTTAGACTTGGAATTTCTGAAAGCTAGACGTAGAGTTTTCGTACGTAAACAGCGAAAGACCTAAACAGATCGTTCGCAATAAATATTGCGGGGCTCGCAGCAAATATTTTGACGTTCGCACAATCAAATCGCAGTTTAAGTCTTTACTTCGGCGTTCACAATCACAAACTCGTGACTCGCAATCCCAAACGACCAATGTATCTAAAAGGCCTGACATTGTAAAACCTACATTCTGAATATGCACGGTGCGAGGTATTTTAGTTCGTCGGTTTTCTGAAGCCTTCAATTGTCACATGTTTTGGGTACATGTACTAATCTACAGTACAGTATACTGCTGCAATCCTCTTTATCCTGTCTTGCTTTAAACTATATAAACTATGCAATATCTGAGGAAACTTATAAATATACGTGTAGCACAGTTACTGGTTATATAACAAATGCATTCACGTGTAGCCCTTAATTTGATTTGGCGATGAATTTATGTAGCACGTCATGAAGACCAATTATCAATTTTTACTTTAAAGGGGCAATAAGAGATCTACTGGACATTGAATATCTCTAAAGGTTTTACCTGCTCATCATCCATTGTCGTCAAAGTCGTGGCTAAACCGGGCGTTTCAACATCACCAGGCTGAATACAAGTGACACGAACACCATCCTTGCAAACTTCCTGACGAAGCGTCCGTGACATCCCCTCTACGAAGAACTTCGACCCTGTGTATACGGCGAACCCTACGGCAGGCTGGAATGTCATAGGGCCATAAGACGTATAGAATGACTCTATGTGTACATAAACTGAATCAATACAATGTCAGATTCAATATGCAAAACTCAATTTTAATAAAAAATAAGTATTTAAGTGAGTAGCCTACTTTGTGATTTCAGAGAATACGGCACTGTATTAACAGGGTAGGGTAAATAATGACTTTTTTTGGAAATCTCTCAAGGAACATGTGAAGAGGCGACAATGGGTCAAAGAGTTCATTTCTGATGAGAATTTTGAGCTAGGAGTATTCTTTAGGTCGGAAATTTCACTATTTGTGGAAACGCATACAAAGCATGTGCACTACATATACAGTAACTGTAGTAACTACTGTACACGCATGTATATGTCTGTATTGAATAGGGTTGATTGAAGCACAAATGTTTGACAAACTTGTAAGTGTTTTCTATGGCAGAAAATGATGCTAAACACATATGTGCAACTATTTTTTTTCTGCAACAGCCATTTGGGTGGTAAAATAACTATTTTCAAAATGGCAGACAAAATGCCCTAACAAGAGTTGCAACACCACCAATTAAAAATCCCACTGTTTGTAATATGCCTTTTCTTATGTTTTTAGGGTTATAAAATATATTTCCATTATGTTTACTCTGCCATTCTGACATTTTAAATGGAGTTAAGTTACCTTGTTGGTTGATAGTTTACTGTCAAGCTTGACGGAAGAGCCAGATCTCAGCCAATCAAAACAAGGAGTGACAAGATCTTTTCAAGTTCTGCTGCATGTGAATTATAGGAAAGAATCAGATTATCCTAACCTCAAACAACCAAAGGGTGTATGTCTTTAAATTGCTAAAAAGAGATTAATTGGAATATGTTTGTTCTGCACAAAATAATCCGGAGAAGCAATCCCTATCCTGAACTGAGACCAGCAAAGATGTTGCCAAGAAAACATCCAATGTCTGGATGTCCAAGAATATCTTTCCCCTCTTAGAGAACATTGCCAACAGAATAGCTGCATATTGGGGCTACTGTAGGCTACATATAAAAAGCATTGTGCTAATATACACGGTATGATGCATCTTATATCATAAACACTCTTTATCAAGTTTTAATTGAACTCTTTTACTTTCGTACTATTAATTGTTTAGAAAAAAAAAAAAAAAAAAAAAAAAAAAAAAGAAAAAGAAAAAAAAAAAAAAAGATGAATTTGTGTAAAAACTGTACATGGCGAACCCTACAAAAGCTGGAATGCCAAAGTACTTCATGCAATGAATTAATGTGCATTTAAACAGAATTAAATTAAATTGATTTGATTTGATATGCAGAATAGGGGACGTAATCTTGAACAAACTGAATCGAGGTCTTCCACTTTTATTTTTCATACAGAAGGGAGAGCTGACAATTGACTATTACCTTCATTCCATATTCTGATGACATGTTGACGATATGACCACTTTTCCTTTCACACATCCCTGAAATCACAGCTCCAATGCAGTTCAACACTCCCTGAATAAGAAGAATCTCAAAAATTCTTTAAGGTAAAGCTCAAAGGTGTTTATACACATTTGGGAATGCCACAACGCCACATTTTTGTCTGAATGGCCTAAAATGCATGTCTACAAGTGTATCTTTCCAAAACCAGGCCTTCAAATGAGACCTCACTTCAAAATAAATAAATAAATAAATAAATAAAAACTAGGGGATCAGAGAGGCAATACCTCCTCCGGGTATTGTACCACCAGTTGGAGTAACTGCATTCGTATAAAAAAAAGGAGGGACACCACCACAAGTGCTGTTTTGGACAAGCTGTACAAAATCAGGCCTTCCCAACTACCAGACTCGGAACCGAATGATCCTGAATTCACCGGTAGATCGGACCACACTACCCGTTTTCAAGGTATGCGTCAGTACGCGCTTCGAAGTATCAGACGCGACGCCGCTCTTGCCAAGTACGCGATGTGATAGCGATGATTCTCAGCCGGGTTGGGAAGTAGTGCATCTCATCTAAAAATTTGTTCTGGGGTATGATACTGTAAAATGCGCACTGACCCACACCATTATGCCTCTCCCGTGAAAATGCACCGGTTGACCCGAAACTCACGAAGAAGAAAGATGACCCTAAATGCAACATGTGCCCTAAATGTAACACCTGCACATAATACTATAGGTTAGGTCTGTGAAGTTTCTGAAAATCAGCATAAATAATTTTTTTGCAAAATATTTCCATTTTTAGAAAATTTTGGCCCGTTTAACATTGAAATAAAGGTCATATCCAAGGGCACATCTAAAATCTCCACATATGACTTTCGGTCAGCCATCTATAGAAATGTTCCCATAATTCCTTTGGTTTGGGAGATATTTATCATTTAATTTTGCAAATTTTGGACAAGGATGCATTGCAACGAGCGCCACACCTAGACTTGTGCACCGACAGTCCCCAAAATTAACGTGGATCGAGTTGAGATTATATGTGACCTAAATGCAAGAGACAGGTATGCAGGCTATTGTAGACTAACAGCAGCGGTAACGGTCACGTCGCTCAGAACAATTTGTTTTAATTGAGACGGTACATCTACAAAACAACTTATCCCAGTCTAAACTTGAGGATTGCCTTTAATCTACGGGCTGTTTCCAGGTAACTTTAAAACCCACTTTGGCCCTACCTTGATGTTCACATCCACTTGTTGATCCCACTCCTCCTCGTGAAGGTTCTTCATACACCTTATCACCCAGATACCCGCGTTATTCACCAAGATATCCACGGGACCCAGGGTACTTTCTGTGTGCTGAATAAGCTCCTTCACCTATGCGGAGATATTCAGTATTGTACTCTTTCAATGCTTGGTTTTTTAGATTATTATTATCAATAACAATTTAACCATTTTAAGAATACTTCGGGAAATTTAATTTTAAAGAACCACCGCTATTTAGGTAAAAGATTTAAGCACAGTCCTGTCATGTTAAGAACCACGTTGCTTTCACTTTGAAGAACACTACCGGGAGATGCCGCATATAACTCGCCGCCTTTCACTTAAATTATCGTTAATCCCGAACAAATCTTTTTCTTTGTTTCATTTCCTGCAATTATATAAATAGTGCCTTACGCTAATCTTACCGTAGCTCAGAAAATGTCCTGTCCCAATTCATAATACGATTCACATCTTATTTACACACAATCACACCCTTTTTACCTCAGCTCTGTTTGTGACATCACATTTCACTGCTAGAGCTCCGCCCCCTTCCTTTGAAATTTCATCCTGGATTTCTTTTAACAAGTTCTCCCGCCTTGCTGCCATGGCAACCTTGGCACCAGCAGCAGCCAGTTGACGAGAGATGGCAGCACCAATGCCACAAGAGGCTCCTGTTACCACGGCAACCTTTCCAGAAAGAGGTTTATAATCTGTAAAATGTATTACATTTTCTGTTGAATGAATAGAACTTATTTTATTAGACCTTGTCAACCCTATCAATTTTGGTAAAACGCAGCCTTGCAGAAGCTTCGTTTTGAGATTATTACTTTCAGATATCCTACCGGTGACACTACCATTATATTGTCTCAGCTCAACAGCAAGGAGTTTAACTCCAAAGACGGATGTACGTTGAGTTTTGATATTTCTGGCATTAAATAAAGTATAGCACAGGTGCTGAGCTTATGTATGCCCCTATTTGGCGAACACGAAAGAAATAGGGAATATAAGTCTGCTCAGCACCTGTGCTACTGAGTATATTTCATGCGCAAATTTTGACAAAGAAGGCCAATGTCGCTGTTCATATTATTTTTAATGTTCTGTGTGCAAATGAGCGAAAAATGCCAAAATTATCAAAATACGCAACGTACTTTGGTCTTGGGAGGTCAACCCCCTTGAGCTTTCATAAGCCTGATAAACGCACATGTCGTCACGTACGCACACATCCACACAAATACATGTATATACACATACATGTACCGGGTGCACACGTGCATTTCTTTTCAAGTTGTCCCTTTATGCCAACCCCGTAGCTATGGTACATCGCCGGTATATTATATAGTATATTATATATCATAGAGCATCAGAGATGAGTAGGCCTACACTAAAGCGTTAGCAACGCGTGGGATGATCCCGGACCCCCCCCCCCCCCCTCCCTCAAACCCAGCTCCCATTGATCGGAATGCTTCGAGGTGACGTGCATGTTTACAGGTACATCCAGGTTTCAGTCAACTATAGATGCCATCAACATGTACTCAGACAAAATGTCTTCAACAATGCAATATGATACACCCATTTTAAAAACACGCATGACTTTGTGTGACCTAGATATAGCGACATTTAATAGACGTGGGTGCAGTTCAGGCATTGTGAAAATCTAGGTTCTATTGCACTGATCCGACTGAAAGCACCTTATGTACTATAGGCATATCAAAACTACCAGTATAATTTTATCACCTTCCCCGTTTACTTAGATGGTGCGTAAACTCACCTCTTGCAGACGACTGCATCCCAAGGAGTACTTTAAGTTAACTTAAATGTACGATTTCCTCTGCTAAAATGCAATGCTACATGTACATGTACGTACTTCCCAGGTCACCCTGTTGGGGCTGATAAACACATCATGCATTGCTTGTAAATCATCGCTAGAGGGCGCCGAAGAGCAGCAATCACAAGTAATAAAACTGTAACCAAATTCCCATGTTTTGTCACAGCGTGACAAAACATGCATCCATGTTTTCCTCACCTGATAGTTAAGATAATATTCATTCGGTTTCTTTGTTTGTAAGTTCCTGACTCATGATATTGTAAAATCATGCAGACTCACACATAAGGGTCGGGGTGGTGGGGTGGTTTTGGTGGTGGTGGTGGTGGTGGGGGGGGGTATACTAATATTCATAAATGGCCAAGTTCAAGTTCAACGGAAATTAATAACGAAACATTTTAAAATGATCGATTTTCTTTATATCAACAACTGTCGATTTTTCCTGGTACTTCCACTAATGCTCATAAAATATACAGATACCACACCACGTCCTGTTCTGCTAGGACTGTTTTAACCCAAATGTAAGCATATACTCGTACATAGTCATAGCATTTACCAGATCACCAAAATAGCGAGCCACAGTGTTGTCAAGAGCGCAATAAAAAGAAAAAAGTTCTTTTCAATCAATGCATATCTTGTTCCCACTTTCAAGGATCCACATTCGAATAATTTGCGTCTTAAATGCCGATAATTATCAACGTTTGTTTACAATCCATTAAATTGAATGGGACTGGGGATAAATCGGCCCATCAAGAGTAAAACCAAACCCTTTCAAGCCGCTGTCAGTTGGCAAATTTCTTTCAACAACGGCTTATGTCATTTTTTATAGTAAAATTATTTGTTAACTTTTTCTGATCACCTTATTTGATCATGGTTCTTCCAATACTTCTGAATTTAGTTCATTTCCTCACTTTTATTAAACATAAATGTATTGAAAATTAATTTGGATATCAATTTCAATTTTAAAATACGTGCATGTATGTAGAAATACAAGTACTGTAGTAAATTACATGTGTATCGTAGAATGAGAATTCAGTTACAAACTGAAAGCGATGGGATTGTTTTATGCAACATACTTTGAAATGGCATATCAGACGCAAACGTAGCAGCTACTTCACATTATTTTTTGGTAATTCATGAGATAAAACCTGGCAAAGAAGCAAATAACCCTCGATATGAAGACCAACCGAATCAGCGAAAATAAGTTATGAGAAACTAGATTGAAATGTACCTATGTGGGGAAAATAAACGAAAAATAAAAAAGGTCCAAAACCAATGAAACTAATATGTTTCTTTAGTCTACCGGAAATATACCATCCATACTGCTTATTAATACGGGGGTAATGCGCTGTAGACAATCCCCGGCACGTACGAAAACTGCCGAACGGATTAAAGGTTTGTGGATTGAAACATATTGCAAGTAGCCAGTAATCTCGCATTCATACCATGAAATCGTGGTTTGAGCCACACATTTGGGCCTGTGTGCCACATATCTTAGGCTTGAGTTCGAAAACGCACAATTCGTTATAAAGTCTGATATTACCTGAGCGCTCTTAGTAGGGCACTATTGACAAAACGCTTTCCCGGAGGTCTTAAGAAGAGGATGTGTGTTAAGCCACTTATATTTTACCTTGTCTTTACGATAAAGTTTCATATTAAGCGAGCGTGAATTCCAAATAATTTTAAAACACCTTTTCTTTATTTAATTTTATTAGAAAAGCAGAAGACTCCCAGCAGGCATAGTGACGTTGGATCAACGTTGAAAACAGGTTTGGACGTTGAATTGCCGTTGATCTACCTAAATTCAACGTAAAATCAACGTTGATCCAGCAAATTAAAAACACCGTCATAATGTGACGTTGACTCAACGTTGTATTTTGGTCATTGACTCAACGTTGTTGTTTGGTCGTCGTGATGCAAGACATGGATTGTAATTTAAAATATTAATTATTGAAAACGTGATACTATGTTTATCAATACTGTAGCGAACTTT